AAAAACAGGTATGAGTTTCCCTATCATGTCCAATGAGTCATTACATAATACTCATGAATTTCTCGCAGGTTTTCTAAAATGACAGTTGAAGTACTTCACTATTCAGACACATATTTTGCCGTTGCTGTCTATCCCAAGTTCTCTTCCAGAGTGTCTTTCACGTTATTCATGACCCCCCCCCCCCCCCCCCCCCAAATCCAATATATCGAGTGCGGGTAAATTTTTACCTTTGTATTTTTTAAAAATGTATGTTATTAGACGTCTTGAGCCGAGGGTCTATTGGAAACAGCCTCTCTATCCTCACAAGGTAGGCGTAAGGTCTGCGTACACACTACCCTCCCCAAACCCCACAGTGTGGGATATTATTGGGTATGTTGTTATTGTTGTTGTTGTTGTTGTTGTTGTTAGCCGCTTCCAAAAATAATAGTAGCTGACAAAGTATATATTTTTTGTATGTATGTGTATTTTATACAGAAAAAATATATATATTTTATATACTTTTCAGCTAGTAAATGCAATAAGTTTCGGCCGATATCCGTCGGTTTTGTATTTTGCTTTCTTTTTTTCTCAACCGAGACACTAAAAAAATTCTCTTTTTCTTTCTTTAAAAATGTTGTCATTGTTGAATTATGTGACCAATTTATTTAAAAGTTTAAGGGATTAAAAAAGTAGTTTTATTTACATAATTATATTTCCAACCCATTCTCACGTGCAAACCCAAAATTTTGTGAGCCAAATATGTAATTATTTTAATAATAAGTGATGGTGAAACTTAAATTCAAGACCTTTGCGTGCTCTAATATCACATTAATGAATTGTGTGATTATTTTATAGGAAAAATTAAAATGCTAGAAAGTATACTGCTTTATTTTTATTCGGTTTTAAGGAAAAGGCAAATGGGGATCTTTGCCTTTTTCAAGTCAATGGGGAAAAAGAAAAGATTCGTACCAACAAAAGGAGAATTGAAAGACTAAAGTTCATAAATACAGTTATATAAACTAGATTTACGTAAGTTTGTCAAGCTTTTTGAGGAGGTTAAGATTTTGTCTCAACTTGTCCCATGAAGCTCAAAAATTGATTTATGCCACCTTTAATGCTTTACAATATAATAAAACTTTTCTTTATATTCTAGTTTTCTTGAGTAAACTATAGCATAACAGAAAACTCACAAAAGGACCAATATTAACTCATATCTATTCTATTTTGATGATTGAGAAGACAAGAGAAATCGAAAATTGATAGTATTGTTTTTTTAACCATATTATACCTCAATATATGTAGTCGCCGATTAAGCATTTAAAGTCATGGGTGCAAAAAGAATTCCCAAAAAGATTAAAAAAAAAAAATAAGTTTAATCGTGGATGCTCGCTCAACAGTTATCTAATATTTTTTTAATAGTTTATGCAAATTACCAAATATGGTCAAAGTTAATGGGTGCTTAAGCACCCACATGTGCTCATGTGGATCCGCCATTGAATATATGACCCATTATGAGCCACGAAGAGGTAATATAATCAAGAAATATAAATCATGTTGCTAAATTGTTTTACAAAATTCTATGGGAGAAATTCAAAAATAGCCAGATGTACCACTGGTCGTTGAAAAATAGCCAAGTTTCAAAAGTCATCGAAATTTAGCCACTTTAAATCTGAGCGAAAACACTGTTCAAAATCCGGAAAAATACGCCCGCAAATTTTACGGGAGTTCCAGCATAAGTATGCTTGAACTCCCGTAAATTTTTCCGGAGTTCCAGGATAACTATGCTGGAACTCCCGCAAATTTTACGGGAGTTCAAGCATAATTATGCTGGAACTCCCGCAAATTTTACGGGAGTTCCAGCAAGTATAATTGTCCAGTATAATATACTGGAGTTTGGAGCACTGGTGCTCCAGTCTCCCGCAAATTTTACAGGAGTTAGCAAAGTATACCGGTCCAGCATAATATGCTGGAGTTCGTACACAAATGCACCAGAACTCCCGTATATTATACTGGACCGGTCCCTGTTGCAGCAAAATAGTAGCTATTTTTCATTGACTTGATAAACGCTGGCTATTTTTCATTGACCAGTGTAAAAACTGGCTATACCATGATATTTTAACAAATTCTATGTATAGTTTCTTCTCCGGACAACAGTTGCTCAAATTTATATCAAATTCAACGAGGGAAAAAAGTGTCATAAAAAGATTATTTATAAAAAGTTGCAATGAGCTTAATTCTTATAAATTCAAAGGGATATATAATGAAATGATGCAATGCAGGTCTTACTTTCAAGAAAGTTGTATATAGTGAGAATAAGTATTTCCTATGCATTAATTGAAAAAAGCTCTCCCCTATGCATCCGTTATTAGTATAGCTACTTAATGGAACATAAAAAAATATATATATATATATATATATATATATATATGATCATAACACACTTTAAATTGAATGAAAACCTTAGGTAGGGGAGCAATATACCTTTTGAATTAAATGGTTAAAGAACCCTGAGGGGTAGCTCGGTTGGTAAAGGCCTGAGGACAAAAGTCCTTCAGGTCGCCAGTTCGAGCCACTTGAGGCATTACAAACCGGCCGCGTTTCCAGGGCCCCGTGGAACTAACCGTGGTGCATGCCTTGAAACAGCGGAACCCAGTGGGTACAGCTAGTCGGGTTCGCAAAGCGATGGCCGGAAACCACGATTATAAAAAAAAATAAAAAATTAAATGGTTAAAGTGAGGAATGAACATGGTAAAAGTAGTTAGAAAAAGCAAATCTTTTCTTTACACATAAGCACTTTCCAAAATCCAAACTAGTGGAGTTCACTCAATATATTATGACTTAAATTTTAATAAAATGTGTGTATAAGAAATTGTCAAGAATTAAATGACAACGGAAAAAAAAATAATAAATAGTAATTTTTTTTTATTTGTTTAAGTTTTGATGCTCAAAATTATCTAACATCTATTTTTAAAGAAGAAAGCAGAAATTCAATAAATAAGGACCCGTTTGTCCATAAAAAAAATGAATTTTTTTTGATTTTCTTATTTTAAAAAATGTGTTTGTCTATGATATTCTGTAAGTTTTTGAAAATTTTCGTAAATGAGTTTTTCAAAATCCAAAAGGTGGTTTTGATCACTTTTTCAAAATTTTCAAAAAAAAAAAAAAATTCCCACTCGCAGAACTGCAATATTTTTACAAATGAAATGTATGTCCAAATATAATTTCAAATTCCATATATCATTTTTCAACTTAACTTTAAATACTACTTCCTCCGGTCCACAATAAGTGATCATTTTACCTTTATTTTGGTTCAAAATAAGTATCCATTTACATAATCAAGAAGGAATTAATTTTATTTTTCCAGAATTTACCCTTATTTACATATTCCAAAATGTCAAGGTAACAACGAATTAAGGTTAATTTAGTGAATACATCTTTTTTTCTCTAGGAGTTCATATTTCCTTAATGGGGGTGCCAGAGGTAAAATGGTCACTTATTGTGGACCGGAGGGAGTATTTTTCAAAAAAAAATTACTCCGTCTGTTTCAATTTAGATGACACACTTTCCTTATTTGTTCGTTCCAAAAAGAATGACACATTTCTATAATTGGAAATAATTCAACTTTAAACTCTTTATTTTACCTATTTTTACCCTTAATAAAAAGCTTATATAACCACGCAAATATCATGGCACCACAAAGTTTTTACCCCTTAAACTTTTAAGACCATAAGTTTTAAAAATCTTCTCTTTTTTTTTTAAAAAAAAATTTCATACCGAATCAAACTACATTATCTAAATTTAGACGAACGGAGTACAATTTTTATGTCCAAACACCCACTAAATATAAAGATGCGCAAAACTTGCAATTTGAATAGAGGTAGGCACTCTATCCAAGAACATCAAAAAGCTACATAAAAAAAACAAACTTATAAGAACCCCAAGCTCACTTAGATTCTTTCACTCAAAATGTTGACACAGTCTTGGCATTCATTACAGTTTCAAGCCACCACTTTATCAGACACCACCAAAATCACACTACACTGCAACTCTAATTATTATGAAAAGCCCCAGGCAATGTGTGTGTATGTGAGAGAGAATTATGCTGCAGCAAAGACTGTATATATATATATGTGCAGAGCAGTGTATATATTATATAGCTATGAAACAGTTGCAGGTATAGCACTGCAAAAAAGAACTCAGTCACTGTTGTATAATTTCTAACACATGAGTAATAAAAGGGTAGCCCGGTGCACTAAGCTTCCGCTATGCATGGGGTTCGGAGAAGTGCCGGACCTATCTTACGCAACCTTATCCTATATTTCTGCAAGAGGCTGTTTCCACGATTTGAAGCCGTAATCTCATAGTCATATAACAACAATTTTATCAGTTACGCCAAGGTTCTTCTCGTGACATATGATTAATACATATACACATTTTGTCTGAGAAATCTGAGAATTGGTTATTCAATTGGTTTACCTGATAAAGGGAGACATATTGACACATTGAAGTCTGACTCAATAACATAATAACAAAGCAAAAGATATGCCGTTAAGTTTCCAATTTATTGACTGACTCCACCAAAAAATCTATCAGACTATCACCAATCCCAAGATTATATTGAAGTAAGAAAAATACCAATTAGACAGTGGGATTAGCATTAAGTCTTGTGTTATCAATAGAGCAAAGAAAAAGATTAATTTGTTAATTAGAATATGTAAGAACAAGAAACCAATATGTATAAACAAAAAATGGAAAAAAAAATTAGTGTTTTATGTTTTATGGACAGATGGTGTAAAAAATCACATTTTTATGCAACCAGAATATTTATACAGTTGGTCACTTGAAAGATATTAGAGGAAACAATTTAATAGTGTTGATTAGTAACCTACAATAAATAGTAAATAACATGCTATAACATATTAAATTACACTGGCAATATGCGATAACTCATTGTAATATCGGTATATATGACTTAAATCCTCAAAACTAAAATTATTAAGTAACATAGGACATGATCAAAATAAACAATAAAAAACCATCATCATAATCATAAACAATTATACAATAAGTTGAATACTAAAAACTTTTGATTAGTGTCTTACTGAATTTAAATAACAAGAAAAAGTAAAAGAGAAAACAAAAAACTAATTCCTAATTGTCTTAGCTATTTTTCCATATTGATCTCCACATTAACCAAAATAAACAAACTCAAAGAAATTAAAAGAGGCCTAAATAGATTAGTATAAAATATGATTTCTTTCACCATTTGTTTCATCAAATTGAACTAAGGCAGTGTACTATACTGATTCAAATTGCTCCAAGCTTGAATACTATTCCAATTGTTGTTGTTGTTCTGATCATTTGCATTTCCACTGCTACTATTTGTTGAAGTTGGATTTACTGTTCCAAATGAGTTATCAAAGAACCATTCAGTAGCTAAATTATTATTCCCATGATCACTTCCACTACCATGATCTTTTCTTGAATTAATATTATTTCCATAAACTGCAGCTTCTTCTTCTTGTTGTTTTGATGAAATGTCCAAGTTTTGAAACAAAATAGGCTGTGGCTTTTGAATTTGGTTTTGATCAAGACGAGGAACATGAGATGAAACAATGTTCTCTTTTTGATTTTGATCCCCACCAAAAAGCATGGCCAATCTTTGTTGTTGTAATTTCCAGTGTAAATCTTGGTTTATTGAACTCAAGGATTCTATTGAAGATGCCATAGTGCCGTGATGAACGCCCATCGACCCCATTTCTTGAACTCCTGCATTACCTGTTGAGACATAATATAATTAAGTAATTAGAAACGTACATTTTCGAACCGTTTAAAATCTTATATTAGACGGCCATACACTTCAACATAAATCTCATTGCCACCAAAAAGCCAATTTAAATTTAAATATTTCACTTTTTAGCCCATAAAAAAGAATCATACCTGCACGTTAGGATAGTATTGAGATATAGTAACATAATTAAATAATCAAAAGTATTTTTTCTGGCCGTCTAAACTTTTTGATGAGATGGTCATACGCTTAAATAGTACCAAAATCTGGTACACCACTATTATTCTCACCTTGTTTTAGCATAGAACTTGAGAAAGGGAAATTATTGAATCCCAACAAAGAGCCAGAACAGCTTCCTGAAGGATCAAGATTAAAACAAGAACTTGATCCAATTGCAGCAGCAGAAGTAGTTGAAATGTCCCCAAATGAAGAAAACTGATTGAAAATACTTCCAGATGTTGAAGTATTGCTACTTAGTCTAGGAAAGTTTAATCCTCCTAGCTGAAAATCCATAGCTGGTGAAAGACCATGAAAAAACTTAAGCCCACCAATATCTGAAGAAACACTAGTATCTTTTGAATCACCAGAAAGCCTTGAAGAAGAAGAAGTCTTTATCTTCTTGTTTTTCCGGCAACCACCGCCTATCGGAACGTTGCGTAGCGCTCCCCCTTTAGTCCAGTATCTGTGTTGACACATAATATAATTAAGTAATTAAAAAAAAATGCTCTCTAGAATAGTTTAAACTGTTGTATTTCATGAGTTCAAATCTCACCGACACAAAAAAAAAAAAATATTATCAAATAAGATGGTCACACAATTCAACAGTACGTACCTTCTGCAGGTCTTGCAGAAATGTCTTGGCTGTGAAAGACTATAGTTGTTGTAATAACAAAACTTGGTGTTGGGAGAATCACATCTTGGACAATTCAAAGATGGTTCTTGTGGCCTTGCCGCCGACGTTTTCCGGCCACCGCCACCGGAGCTTTGGCTTTCCTCTTTGTTATCTGGACTCGTCATAGGAGGAGGATTACAGTAGGCCAAATAGCTAGCTTCTAGCTAGCTGTTTTTTTTTTTTTTTGGGGTCAAGTGTGAAGAGCTAGGGAAGAAACCCTAATAATGAATAGTGTACAAATTGAATATAAAAATTATATATAGGAAATGGCAAACAAAGGAGAGGTGGAGGAATAGATGAAATTAGTTGTGTTTTAGTTTCCTTTGGAAGAGGCAAAGATTTCTTTCAATGGTTTCATGCATGGATTTAATAGAGGATGTTGATGGCTCCTTGTGAACTTCATCAAGAAGGTTTTTTCTTTCTTTCTAGTTTTGGGTTGTGAAGAGAAAAGAAAGGAAAAAAATATAGAGTTGTTTGATTATTATAGAGATGTGATGGAATAAATAAAGTAGGTTACATAGGAGAGAGAATTAGAGATCTCACTAGAAAAAGGGCTAGGTATATATATTCTGATGTTTAAGAAAGAGAAGGATATAAAAAGACAAAAGAGAGTAGATGATCTGATACAGATGAGGCAGAATGGTGAGATCCACATGTAAGTGAAAACAAATAAAGTTAAAAAAGTAATAACTGAGGTTAAAAACAATAAATAATTGGAAAAGAAAGAAAGGACTTAGGCTATGTATTCTTCATTTGAAAACAAATACTCACATGAAATATTGGATGTAGTTGATTAAATTAACTATACTGTAATAAAAAGCTTTCCAATGATAATTAAGTAAAGAATTTGAAAATTAAGTTTTATTTATTTATCATGTATAGGTTTTATATTGTTGGTAGTCAGAGGCGGATCCGGAATTTGAAGATCGCAGGTGTACTTTTGGATTCAATTAAAATCTGCTTTGTATATAGGGTGCCCACTACTAATATATCATTATTTTCTAAAAATACAATACATTATACATGGAGTTTTTGCCGAACTTTACGGGTGGCGGTGACCCCTACCAGTATAGTATAGCTCCGCCTCTGGTTGGTAATATATACGATAATATATCGTCTGAGATTTGTCTGAGATGAGCTTAAACTTAACGGCATAGTTAGTGATAATTTATATACACTACCTCAACTTACTTGAAATTGAAGCATAATTATTTTTGTTATCGCGAGTAACAGTCTCTGACTAAGTTTTATTAAATCCATTCCTAAGACATTTATAAAATGGTTATTTGTTCCTATGTAGGAACAACTAATTTACTTGTACTTATCAAAAGTTCATGAGTAGGACAACTGCAGCACAAGCTCGACTGCAGTAAACTTAGATAATAGCTTTAATTCAAGCACCAATTGAATGCATGCATGCATGCAAACAACACCATTATATCGAATTGTGGAAAGATGTCTCCAATAAATAATGGATTTTTTTTTCATGCTAATGCATTGAATTACTGAATGGATGTGATAGGAGAGAATGTAGGTATCAAAGTGGAAATTAAGTACAATAGTACTCCAATTGTCCCTGATATATTTTCTTTTTTAGTCGGTTAAAAAATAATATTTTCCTAGACTCTATTAATAACATAATTTTAAGACACGCTCCCTCCGTTCACTTTTACTTATCACGTTTCGTTTTTCGAGAGTCATTTTGACTAACTTTTGAAGTTAAATGCATTAGATTTTCTTAATATTTTAAAATTATAATTTAAATATTCAAAAACTATATGAAAAGTATTATAATTTGTAATTTTTCTCATATCAATACGGTAAAAAAATACATGTTAAAATGATGGTCAAAGTTTTTGTAGTTTGACTTTCGAAAAGCGAAACCTGACAAGTAAAAGTGAACGGAAAAAGTATTTTATACCACAATTTCTTTTTTTAAAAAATTACTTAATTAATTAACTTTGTGTTCAATCAAATACCGTCACATAAATTAGAATGGACGGATAAAGTATATAGCATGAAGAAAGTAGAAAAAGAGTAGGAGAAGGATCTGAGAGTATAGGGTCAGTGCTAGTAGTGGTGGGGTTTGAGTGATGAGTGTGAGAAAAGAGGAAACAGTTGCTGTGTAGGAGTGGCAGGGACAACAGACTTGTCTCTTCCTTCTTATGTAATGTCCCTTTTACTCTCATTTAACCCCACCTTTTTTGCAGGCTTCTACATATTAAGAAGCTTACACCTTTTACAACCCCATCCCTGGCCCCCTCTACCACTATTTAATTCTCTATTTCATTAATGTAATGTATTATGAGTAGCTCGTGTTTCGAACCTGAGTATGAAATCGTCTTTGTTATGAACCGTTTTAATTTTAATGTGGGATATTGCGATTCGTGCGAATTTGAATTTTGTCGGACCTCAAGGTAAATATCGGACACCTGGTGAAAAACCAGGAAACTTTTTTTAGTGTACTACATTCTAGGCATATATATGCAGGGGCAGAGCTAGAGACCGAGGTGATGTTTCGGCCGAAAGCAGTAGCTTTGGTGCAAACTCTGTATTTGTCTTCAAAAATTGATTTAATATGTACAAATTATTAATTTAGAACTCAGAAAATTAAAAGTGCTAGAACTCGGAGCCCATAAATTTTAATTTCTAACTCCGCCTCTGTATATATATACTGTTTAACAGCTTTTTATTAGGTACAATAGTTTATCCCCTTCGAAGAAAACATGAACTCAAAGTTTCTTTAATCAAATTTGACTCTTAAGTCGGAGATGTTATAGTTACATAAACAAGTTTAAGAAAATTATGAGAGCTTGCTTATGTCCAATCTCAAGTTAAAAACGTTTATTTGTTTTGGTTAATTATGAATTAAAAGAAAAGTTTGAAAGAATATGTCTCGGAGTTGCCAATTTATAAGAGATAATGTAAAAAAATAAAAATAAAAGAAGTTCCTTTAATATTCTTAATTTTAGGATAGTACAGAATGAAGGATATATTAACTAGGAGGAAACTATAATATTGAGGTGATGCCACAAAAATAGCATTGAGTGACTTTCTTTTTTAAATAGAAAATAGTACTATTATTTAGAAAGACTAGACTTGTTCGCTAACTAGCTTTACATAGCTTTTGATATCACTATTTAAAAGTAACCTTTTTAATATAAAAAATTCCATGGAATTACCAACTTATTGGAACTAATTTAATTATTATTCATTTCCTTTTAAAATCACTAGCTACGCTGCTTGAATTCGTAGTATAATTTACTCGACAGTCAACATTTGAAAAAAAAGCCAAAAATTTTCAAGGTTAATTAGTTCTAACAAAAGAAAAATCAAAAGTCCTCAATCTCCTCATAAGCCTTTAAATTTATGCGGCACACAAGGCCTATTAAAGGGATGTTGAACTCAAGAGGCCGAGACTTTTGATTAAGGATAGTGTGATCCTAACTATTCATCGACTCGCGATGGTTGATCTTTATATTGTTATTGTTATTACTAAAACAACTATTTGGCAAGAGAAGGACAAAGAGAGGAACAGTTGATGGTACCTTTCTTTTGTTATGGGCAAGATGTACGTACGGTCACTGAATTAATGCATTTGAAAAACGAATGATAACTGTAGCTAGCAATTTCTGATTGTGATTCATTGACTACAGAAGTTAATATACGACCAAGCTTCTACCTTTATCAACTGTCTCTACTTACTATTTGTATTTGTACCTTTTCGCATTATTTTCCCCCGGCATTTATGTTTATATGTTGCCTTCTAATTGGCATGTTTTGTGATCGGTACTCATATTGGAGCCCGACTATATGTGGATCGATTCGCGCCGAGCGCTCCCTACAAACGATTTTTCCATACCTAGGGCTCAAACTCGAGACCTATGGTAAGGAAAGAGCAGTCTCATTCACTGCACCACATCCTTTGATGGTCATTCAAAGCAAGTTGGGATGTATATATTATATAAAAAGGTAATCGAGCATGATTTTTAAGTTGGGATGTATATATTATACAAAGAGGCAATCGAGCATGTTTTAACGTAATGAATATTACCAAGATTCATCATAAATTGATTAGATTTACACTGGCTGTCAATTTACTATAATTCTCCTTGTTAATCGGCCTTGAACAGACCATCTGAGCAAGCGCGATTACTACTATATTTTCTTTCCAATATTAGTAGCATTAGTCTAATTTGACCTCCAAACTCATAAAGAGATCACTTATATTCCAACTCATGACAACATATAATTTTTATATACGTACCTTAACAAAACAAATTAAAATCGATATTAACTTTTTACCCTTCAATCTTGGAATGTCCTAGTTTGATCCCAACCACCAAACTTTTCCATAGTTTTATTGCTACAATATACTAAAGAAAGCAAGAAATGATGAGGTGGGGAGTTGAAGTAAAGCGTGACAAATATGATTTGGCACTACTACCGCCCAAAAGAAGTACACTAAACATGAGAAGAGATGGACATATAATTGTATGCCACAAAATAAAAAGAAACAGAGTGGCATACAAAATAAGTTGTAGTATGTGCTGGAAAATAAACGTGTAGACGCCGTAAAACAAGAGCTAAGTGACAGATAGAGAGAGCTAAGAAAGAGAGATCTCGTGAAAGGAAGAAGCTGGCTGGATTCCCGTGAGAAACAGACACAACACAATATGCATATACACATGAAGCCGTGATGTAAACTCCTCCCCCGCCTTAGCTATAGCTTACGGGTTCGGCAGAACTTAGTAATTATATTTATTTTAAGTAGTTTATTAATATAGAATCCAGTAAAATAATTAGAATCCTGAAATCATAAACTTTAAATTTTGGCTCCGCATCCCTGATCCCCCCTTCCCCACAACACAATTCTTCTCATCCCACTCTAAGGACGGACTATATTTTTTATGGGTAAATATGTATTCGCACCAAATGATTACACTAAATCAAGCAGTTTAACCTTAACCGTTAGATATTAAAGCGAGAATGCATATCATATCATTATGGTTTAAGTGAGAAATGTGCTCTATGAAAGTCACTTGTCTTGTATATATTCGTTAATTTGGTATAAACACCAAATGCGACTAAGTTTTTACTTATTGATGGTGCAAACAAATTCATTATATATATTCAACTTAAACCATATTTTATATTTGAAAGTTCTTTTCTCTTGAAAGAACACTTGAATATTTATGTTCTAATAGAGAGTGGTTTCCATTTAATGAGTTTTATGTGATGGGAATTCAAATTAATCAAACCCCAAAATATGTATGGGTAAATATGTATCTGCACGAGATGATTATACTAAATCAAACAGTTTAACCGTAATTGTTAAGTATTAAAGCGAGAATGCGTATAGCATAATTATGGTTAAGTGAGAAACGTGTCTCTATTAAAATAGCTTGTCCGGTATATATTTATTGATTTGGTATAAATATAGAGTACGGGTAAGTTATTACTCATTGATGGTGCAGTCAAATTCAATATATAAACTGTATTTTATAATTGAAAGTTCTTTTC